CCCCCCCCCCAAAAAAAAGAATTTTTTTAACTTATATTTGAGACTATATAATATGGGCTGATCTAAACTTCAGTTCAAAGCTCTATGTGAAAATGGTTCCCTTCTGTTGCAAAAAACGTGTTTACGTGCCGGTCAACCGAACGGCTTGTCCACGTAACTCTAGACTTCGCTGATCAAGTTTTTCAAAAAAATTATTTTAGAGTAGAACTGATAGGAGCATATATCACTAGATGTAGTTTTTGACGCTGATTACGAATCTCACATTAGTTTTTGAAAAACGTAAAATTTTGGTACTAAAAATCCAGTTTTACATTTTTTGAAAACTGTATTTTCAATTTCCTCACCTAGACACTTTCCCTAATAAAAATGGAAGGCGATACTAATCGATAGAGAATTCGATTCTCTACAAGATGATATGGTTTTTTTTTGAAGTTTAGACTCAGAACAAGCTTTTTAATAAAGTTTTAAGATTTTCACACAATTCTAAGAAAGTGAAAACATTTTTTCAGCTTTATTTTCACCTTAGTCTATATTAGATGTCTAAAGCTAAGCCTGATGTGAAAATGAGTCCCTTTGAGCAATATTTAGTGCTCCAAACTTTGTTGGGAAAAACGAGTGTCACAGCGTCACGACGATAAAACACAATTATTGAGGGATGGAAAGCTCTTTCGAAAGACTTTTTTTTAACAATCAGTAGCTCGTTTACTCCACTACAAACTTTGCTCGAGACGCTTTTTATTAGCTCTTCTAAATTCGCAGCAAAATAGCTTTTGACGAGAAACACTTCGAATTTAGAGCCTTTTTTTGTCACAGCGTCACGCCCCGAAAAACGCTTCTAAAAGTTTGAGTCCTTAACCACATACCTTCATTTTTATAACAAAAGTAGAGTATGGCGAGCTGCGAACGGCGCAAGAACGACGGTTCTAGCTTATACACTTTTTGAGGAAAACTCAAATTACTGTGTCAAAAATGTCACAGCGTCACGCTTGGACAAGCCCCTAACAAAAAATATTTCTGTATTTTTAATAATAATCGTATACAAACAAAGAATCATTTATTTTTATTTTAAAAGATTGAAGCTGACGTTTCAGCTTTTTAAAACTTGTGTACGTTTAATATTATTTTTATTACAGCTAAAAATAGTGGTGTTTTTTTGTTTTTGTTTTTTTATTCTGTTAATTTTGTTTTTAGATAATGCGTGATATTGAATCAATGGAATCACCAAAGTCCATCTCCTTGTTAACAGAATTATATCAATTACGCGATTTAATATTACCCACTCCTCCTGTCACCACATCATTTTCCCCGAAGAAAAAGTTTATTATACGAAATCAATCCCAGACAGATGATGTCTCTTTGAACAATTCTACTAGCAACGATTCGTCATTTATTAAAATTATTATCGATCAAAAACCTTACAGAGTTCAGGTTCAAAAACAAGAGACTAGTAATAAACGACCTATTGAACAAGAAACAAACACTCAGAGTAAGTATAATACACATTTACTTTAACAAAATGTTTCTTGTGCATTAATAGTGGAAACTTCATTGCTTACCATTGCTTTCTCTAATATTTTGATTACTCATCTTATGGTTAATTGTGTTTTCTTTGATCTTGTAGTTGTATTCATTCGTTAATTTACAAGTGATCAAAAAAAAGGTTCTCTCTTCGAAACTAGTCAGAGAGTATGAAACACAAGTTTAATTTATCATTGAGAATATCGAATAATTTTATGTTGTTTGTTTATTATCCAAATTAGGCGTGCAACGGTTACGGTTATTAACCTTTAACCGCAACCGTAAATAACCGCTTACGACGAAAATCACTCCAACTGTCCCATCGCTTTTTCTACGAAACCTAGTGAAAAATAGGTAATCAAGTGTGCTAAGTTTGAATATCATAGTGGTTTGGGCGCCTAGATCTCCGGAGACCGGTTTTATGGAAAATCAGTTTTTCCGAAACTCTAAAAGATAACTAAAACCTTTCCTAATGAGGAAACCTTTCCTTCATTGTCAGCTCAAAGCTACAGAAATAAGAAGAAAGTAATTTAGGGCTTTTCTTCTAAATTCTCTAACTTTGTAAAGAAAGGCCGTGTACAGCTGGGAGGTGTCTCATTTTACTCAGAAATGTGCGGGCTACAATTATGCCTCATTAGGAAAGGTTTTAGTTATCTTTTAGAGTTTCGGAAAAACTGGTTTTCCATAAAACCGGTCTCTGGAGGCCTAGACGCCCAAACTACTATGATATTTAGATTCAGCACACTCGATTACCTATTGTCCACTAGGTTTCGTAAAAAAAGTGATCGGACAGTTGGAGTGGTTTCTTCGTTGGTGTATATTTGGTTTTAGCTCTTCGATGTTTGTTTACATGAGAAGTAGACAAGGATGGTCTTAACAAACATAAAAGAGCTAAAAACCAAATATACACTAAGCTGTTATAAAGCGATTATTTACGGTTACGGTTAACCGTAACTATTGCATGCCTAGTCGGAATTATTTGTTCGCTACTATCTACTATTAATACGTTGAGTTACTCTTCCTGTTTTTGATAATAAATTTATTTTTACTTATTACGTTTCGACGGTGATGACATCTTCAGACGGTTTACTCTCGATTCGTCCCTAATTATTCTCTCTCAATTCGTCCGACAGATTTTTTTCGCAGTTCGTTCCAATTTTCTTCTCGCACTATTCGTCCCATTTTTTAAATACTTATTCTGCTCCGCATAAGTTCTCTTATAGTTAACTTAACTTCCAGAAATGGAAACAAAAAAATGTTATTAATACATTGTCTTTATTTCATATGAGTTTTTATGGCCTTTCCACATTTTATGACTAATTGTAGATTTGTCAACTCCCCTTTTTCATGAGTATCAAGCAAACTTTTCAATTTTTCATCAATTTCATTGTAAATTTTTGCTGTATCAATAATGACCTTACTTTTATCTTGTGTGTGTACGCGAATGTTATGTTTCATCTAAGACTAAATCTTGTGAATATAACGAAATGACACTTGTAGAGTTACGATCTCTGCATCTCCGCTGATTACTCTTATTACTTTCTTTTTTTTTGTGAGCTGATAACCGTTAATTCAGCACAGGTTTACTTTTTTCAGTTTTTGTGAAACTTAACATTGCAAACTTCACTCATACGACAACTTTTGGTCAAATGTCAATTTCTATTATCTACTTTAGACACGTTTCCGTACATATTTTTATTTATTATTTTATTCTGATCAACATGAACGAAACCCCTTGATATTTTGAAGAACACAAAGAAAACTTATGCAGAATAAGTATTTAAAACATGGTACGAAGAGGAACAACGAAAATTGCCGTTTCTTTCAAGATGAATACACTACCCTTTCGAGACGGATATACCACTCTGTTAAGATGAATACCTCTTCTGAACAAGATCATTACATTAGTGAAATGAAGTAGAGAACTGCTGAGAAGCTCATGATTCATTCAAATCACAGATTTATTTTCACAATATTTCGACAGTCACTGTTGCCATTTTCAAGTGAAAAGAGATAGAACTGTATATTGGCTTTCAGTTAGACTACCAATATACAGTTCTATCTCTTTTCACTTGAAAATGGCAACAGTGACTGTCGAAATATTGTGAAAATAAATCTGTGATTTGAATGAATCATGAGCTTCTCAGCAGTTCTCTACTTCATTTCACTATTTAATCTTACTGCTCCTCGGTCTTCATCATTACATTACTCTATTGAGAGTAATACACCGGTTAAGATGCATACATCGGGGGGGAGTTAAAAGATAGGTCAAAATCAAGACTTTTCGAGTATAAAACTTCAACTCCTTCTCCTCTGGAGATACTAAAGAAGTTTCACAGACCAAAAAAAGGTGGGACGAATTGAGAGAGAGCAATTAGCAACAAATCGAGAGGACACGCTTCTTTCCGACAAAAATTATTGTGCGTTTTTAAAAAACATACATTAAACAAACACAAGTAGTAAACTGTTTATATATTTTTAATTTCTTTGATTAATAGCGGATCGGACAAGACGGGAATATTGGATGAGTGACTCATGAGCCTTCTTCGTCTAATTCACTAATATCGCGTTCTGTCTTTGATATTGTGAATAGTCAAATTTGATTCTTTTCAATTCAATATTGTTTTTTATTATAGCTTTTGATGAATGAATAATCGGTATTCATAAATTTGCTAATATAACAAGTAAAAAAACAAAATTTATTATCAATAACAGGAAGAGTAGTAGTAACTCAATATATTAATTCTTAATGACCTTTCTAAAACAGAAATCTATTTTCTACTATAAGTAACAAAAATTTCATCTATAGGTGAATTTTTATTTAAATCGACTGAAATTTTATTGTACATCTATTCTGAAGAATGATATATAATAAAATATACAAATTTTCTGGGAACTGATGTAAGAAATGACTCACATTTCGTGAGTCACATACAGAAAAAAGGTAAAACATAACGTGTACAACTAATTTTTGTTACTCTTTTATAAATTATTACGGATAATTTTTTACAGAAAAAGTAAAATAAAATAAGAAAGATATCAGTAGTTTTTTCTTGACTTTTCATTATTATTTTACATCAATTACAATAATTAAAAAAGAGGATGAATTGTTTTATTTTCTTTATTAAAATAGTTTATATTTTATTTTAACTTCATTTTTCATTTAGATTCTTCATTTTTATCATCTACAACTCAAAATATGTCAAATGAGGTGACATCAAGTAATCAAATTTTAAAAGTAAAACGTCAACGTATGTCTCAATCACCAGTGTCAAATATTCAACTATCTGTTATCAATGAGTCTAGTAATGATGCTGTTCGACGTAAACATTTACGTGATAGTAATCGTGAAGCAGCAAGACGATGTCGTGAAAGACGTCGTCAACATATTGAAATATTAGAGAAAAATTTGGAAAGTGAACGACAAAAAACTTTAAAATTAGAAGCCGATATACAAGATTTGAAACAAGAAAATACACAATTGAAAAAAATTCTTGTTGAAACAACAAAATTATCTTTAACATCTCTTGTATAATAATCAAAATTAAACATCGAATCTACTCAATATATGTCTTTCACTATTTTTCATTAATTGATTGTAGATACGTTGTCATTGAATAAGACAGAATATATTATGTGATCTGTTTGTTTGAGTTGATATTCATCTGAAATTTATACGTTTTTACATAATTGGACAGAAAGATTTCGAAAAAGTTAGATCTAAGTAAACGAGATTTAGTGTATTGTGTGATTATTTCAAGGGCGAAACAGCAGATTTTGTGACTTTTGTAATCTGGACTTCGTTCTACAGGCAATCAATTTTTTTCAAATTTTATTGTACTCCTGAAGACTCCTTGATATTCTTCGTGACTTCGCTGAGTTCGAAGAATTTTCCTGACTATTTTTGAATTTTCCCGCGTTTTTTCCGCTTAGTCTCATTTTTATAGATTTTCGAGATTTCATCGAATTCGAATCCCTTTTTCCGATTTTTTCTTGTACTTCCAGAGATTTCTCCAGTTTCTCGAACTTTGGAAAGTTTATATAGGATTTTCCAGGCTTCTATAAGTCTGGAAGTCCACAGCTGCTTGGAATTCTGCTGTTTTCCCCTTGGATTATTTACATGACGATCGCCGTATTGTCTGTTACAGGCGAGTTTTTTTCTTCGTATGTTTGACCGATATTTTTATAAAATGAAGAGAGTACACCGCAGTTGTTCAGAATGTAAAATGTCTTTTATTTTCATAATAGATTTTTTTTTGTTTTTTCATATATCTCCTATATGGTACATGTTTTTATTTTAATAATCTTGAACAGTCTTTTGTCTCTGTTTTCTATTAACTAAGCGATGATCGTTGGTATTTTTTATTTTAAACATGTCTACTTTTCTATTTTCTCCTATATTTACCTATATATTTAAACTAATAGAAAATTTTATTATTGACAGAAAATATTCGAGTTTGTAAAGTCAACTTTCATTTGGAAGAGTTTTGTTGTGGTTAGTTCTATTGACTATTGATATGATAAAAAATGTGACAATGATGCTCGAATTTTTGACTATGTAAATATCTTTACGTTGTTTATTTTTCTATAAATATATGACATACCACATTATTATTATAAATAAAATTTATTCAACATTCAACACTCAAGGATATTTTCATCAAATGAAAATAGACAATACGTCTAGAAAATATTTAGATGACGTACATATGAATGAAAAACATCCATCCACTCATTATGTTCGTTTTCGAATGCTTTGATATCAATTGTGTAATTTACTTAAACTTCGTTAGTCTTCTCATAGTCGTGTCGATGACTGAAGTAAGATATGCACCAGTTAAAAACTGCTGTTAGGATATACAAGAAAACTGCTGTAATCTGATTATGAAGAATCGCTAAGAGTTGTGAAATGTCTCATTTTGTAGAGAAATGTTTGCTCTACAAACTTCAATTATCAAAAGAAATTTAAATATGTTTTGAACAAAAATATGATCATTTTAAGATGTAGTAAATCATTGAAAAAAAACTGTTCGAACAGTTTTATTTTCGCGATTTAATGCATTTTAGAATGTTCACACTACTGTCATAAATAGAAGAAACTTTTTTAAGATTTCGATATTATAGATCAAACATTTCTCTACAAAATGAGATATTCCACTACTGTTATCGATTATTCATAATCAGATTATAGCAGTTTTCTTGTATACCCCAGTTTTTAACTGGTTCATACCTAATTGAAGTTGAAAGGAATGAGTTTCTTATTTGAAAGATGTTCTCTGTTGTGGAAAAACGACTGAAATAGTCAATTTTCACCGTATAGTTCAGCAACTGTCTGACAACAATCACGAGTGACATTCTGCCTTAGAAGTCTGAGAATCACCTAAATATTGAGCAAAATTCTGAAATTTTCAGTAAGTGTATTAGCGTCTGCTGATAACGGTGCTCATATTTCATAGATAGACATTTTTTATTTACTTTATATCAAATCAGTGGCGAATTCAGAATTATTTTTAGGTACATGCGTTAAGTAAGGTAAGTATGAGATACATGCGGTTCCCATAGAAATAGAATGTGTTGTACGGACAAACCGTATTTTATAATTAAAAAATCGAGTTTAAGTAATTTCGAGCCAGCAAAGTCTTATCCCATAGAAAATGACATTCTGAACAACTTTTGCAGCCGGGAAGGTAAAGTTGAATTTCTCCGTCAAACTTCATCCTGGAACGATGAACACCCCAAAACGATAAATTAGAGTCAATTGATATTTACTTGAGTTTATCCCAAGGTTTTTTCTAAGCATGAAAAAAGTAATTATCATAAAACATACGGAGTTCGAATCCCGGCACTGGCGGTCGCGTGCATCAATCGAGCTTTGAGCGACCAACATTACCACGAACAGGACTCGACTCTTCCATGAATTTTTCGTAGTACACATTTGGATATTTTTGGTAGTGGGTCGTAGGTTCTCAAAATTCGAATGTGAGGTTTTTGACGCCTTTGGTCCCCCTCAGGATTTCTGGAAAACTTTTTTCCTCTGGTATTTTTGATACCATATGAGTTAGATGCAAAATTTCGCGCTGATCACGAATATTACTTTCAAAATTGAAAACAGTTGACTTTTCATGAAGAAAAGTGAGTTTTTCTAAATTGGGATCACTAGATCGTATTCTACAAGTTTTGTTCGATAATCCGTATTAAAAATGCTTTTCATAGATTCAAAAGAAGTTTAGAATGTGCAAGAAAAAACATTTCAAATGTTTTTTCTTTCACAATATGTGCTTGAAAGCAGGATCTGTTTAAGCTAGGTGGTTGAAAAATGCGAGAGAAGACCCCGAAATCGACAAAAATCCACATCTCTTTTCGTATTTTTGTCATTGTAACTGAACGAAAGCTGGAAGCAATGAGAATATGAAATAAACAACGTTTTATGCTCTGTCGAATGCTGATATTTTAAAAGAAAAAGAAGTTACGCTTTTTTAAGAATTACGAATTAGCATTGTGTTCGAAGGTATATCACTACAATTCAATCAATATTCCAAGCTTGTAAAGTAGCTTTAGTTTTCTACTTTGCACCTTTCTTAGTGGCCATAGTATCCCACTTTTCCCCCGTTGATGACCCTTCGGCAAGGACGAAACGGCAATATTCCAGAATATTCTTAGATGATGCGGTATTCTGGAATATTCTAGAACATTCCCTGGTGTAATATAGATAGTATATATTCCGTGATCTGTAGAGATGGATAGATATTATGTTCACTTCTCGTTTATAATAAACACTTCTATACGTATTAATAGTATATAATTATATTTCATACACAAAACTGCTTAATTTCCAATATGCCGCTCAACGAAAATCGATGTTGTTTATGCGAACAGGTTTTTAAAGAACGAAAGTATGTACTGAAAAATTCTCCAGATTTATTTAGATGCCTCAAATTTGTATGAATTCTTACACCACAGATCATTTTTGGATAGTGCTGTTATCTGTAACCCATGCTATTTAAGATTTTATAAAGAAAAAAAATAAATCTCTAAGAGATCTATCAGGACCGCAGAGTACTTTGAGCGTGGAATCGGTGGATTTCGATTTTCCTAGGGATTTATCTGAAAATGCAACAACCCCTGTGATGCAGTCCACGATCCAGCTGGCTAGCACTGCCATTGGGGAGGTTGGAGTTGATTGTAGTTTACTTAAACCTAATCTGATTACACCCTTTCTCCTCTCACCTAATCGGTATTACACTCTTACAGGCATTAATAAACGATCGTTTCAAAAATTCTGTGGTCTTATCAGTATTCGAGATGCGGAAAATCGCTCCCACGAGATGGTCATAGGCTGTCTGTTAGTGAAACTGACGAGGGAACATATCCAACTGCCAAATCGCTTTCGAGCCAAAACCTAGTGCACTATAGGTAGTCGATCATGCTGATTTCGAATATGATAGCCGTTTTTTTCCATAGGCCTTTCCTAACCGGTTTCTGAAAAACTAGTTTTCCAGAAACCTCGAAAAATCCCCAAGGGTTTTTCTTTCTTCTTTTTCTGTTTTTCTGTCTTTCCCAAGGGTGTCTTCTTTTTTTCTTTTTTTGTAGCCCGCGAAATTCTGATTAAAATGAGACATCTCCCAGCTCCACATGACCTTTCTTTGCAAAGTTATAGAATTCACAAGAAAAGCCCTAAATTCATCTTTCCTTCTTCTTTCTATAGCACTGAGGTGACAATAAACATTTAGGGCTTTTCTTGTGAATTCTATAACTTTGCGAAGAAAGGTCATGTAGAGCTGGAGATGTCTCATTTTAATCAGAATTTCGCGGGCTACAGTTGTGACTTATTTAGAAAACCCTTAGGGATTTTTCGAGATTTCTGGAAAAGTAGTTTTTCAGAAACCGGTTAGGAAAGGCCTATGGGAAAAAAACGGCTATCATATTCGAAATCAGCATGATCGACTACCTATAGTCCACTAGGTTTCGGCTCGAAAGCGATTTGACAGTTAGTTATGTTCCCTCGTGAGATTAGGACAAAGTAATGAGGTGCTCTCTACATTATTTTCCTTTACTGATCGGTGTACTGTTGGCGTATACTCGAAAGCGTATATAATGCACTTTTACGAGATTTTGTTCTCCGATTTCTCGCATTTAACCATATGTCTCGAGAGGAAGTAATTGAGTGCCATACGCGTCCTTTGGCGAAAAAACTTTTATGTGATGGAAAGGATGCGGCTATGCTCATCCTTGACGGTGCGTACATTTATTGCCAAAAGAGCTGTAATAACATTCTGCAGCGACATCTCTTTAGCTCTCATAAAGGACGCCCACTTTTGAAGCCTATGATTGTAGTTACATCAGATGGTTATATTGTCAGGAGGGATGTCCGAGTTCCATCAATTCCGGAATTTTGCAAAATCCACGAGAATTTTACTCTTTACCACGAGAATTCTTCTTTTCACACAGGAATTCTGATAAACCACGTTACTTTCTTCCCGAGAATTTTACTTTTCCACAGAAATTATGAGAATTACCACGAGAATTTTAGTCTCT